CTATGGGGCTCAGGCCATAAAATTATGCTTAATAGATTTGGTGTATTTTTCAAGGATTTTTTTATAGAAAGTATGGGTTTTTCCTCAATACCTTTTAGAGCATTTGACCCAGTCACCCCAGAATACTTTACAAAATTAGTACTACCTCTAGGCTATGGGGCTCAGGCAATGAAATCATGCTTAATAGATTAGTTGTATTTTTCAAGGATTTATTTATATAAAGTATGGGGTTTTCCCTCAATAGCTTTTAGAGCATTTGACCCATTCGCCACAGAATACTTTACAAAATTAGTACTTCCTCTAGGCTATGGGGCTCAGGCCATGAAGTTATGCTGAATAGATTTGGTGTATTTTTCACAGATTTTTTATATAAAGTTTGGGTTTTTCCTCAATAGCTTTTAGAGCATTTGACCCAGCCACCACAGAATACTTTACAAAATTAGTACTTCCTCTAGGCTATGGGGCTCAGGCCATGAAATTATGCTTAATAGATTTGGTGTATTTTTCAAGGATTTTTTTATATAAAGTTTGGGTTTTTCCTCAATAGCTTTTAGGGCATTTGACCCAGTCACCCCAGAATACTTTACAAAATTAGTACTTCCTCTAGGCTATGGGGCTCAGGCCATGAAATTATGCTGAATAGATTTGGTGTATTTTTCACGGTTTTTTTATATAAAGTTTGGATTTTTCCTCAATAGCTTTTAGGGCATTTGACCCAGTCACCCCAAAACACTTTACAAAATTAGTACTACCTCTAGGCTATTGGGCTCAGGCCATAAAATTATGCTTAATAGATTTGGTGTATTTTTCAAGGATTTTTTTATAGAAAGTATGGGTTTTTCCTCAATACCTTTTAGAGCATTTGACCCAGTCACCCCAGAATACTTTACAAAATTAGTACTACCTCTAGGCTATTGGGCTCAGGCCATAAAATTATGCTTAATAGATTTGGTGTATTTTTCAAGGATTTTTTTATAGAAAGTATGGGTTTTTCCTCAATACCTTTTAGAGCATTTGACCCAGTCACCCCAGAATACTTTACAAAATTAGTACTACCTCTAGGCTATGGGGCTCAGGCAATGAAATCATGCTTAATAGATTAGTTGTATTTTTCAAGGATTTATTTATATAAAGTATGGGGTTTTCCCTCAATAGCTTTTAGAGCATTTGACCCATTCGCCACAGAATACTTTACAAAATTAGTACTTCCTCTAGGCTATGGGGCTCAGGCCATGAAGTTATGCTGAATAGATTTGGTGTATTTTTCACAGATTTTTTATATAAAGTTTGGGTTTTTCCTCAATAGCTTTTAGAGCATTTGACCCAGCCACCACAGAATACTTTACAAAATTAGTACTTCCTCTAGGCTATGGGGCTCAGGCCATGAAATTATGCTTAATAGATTTGGTGTATTTTTCAAGGATTTTTTATATAAAGTTTGGGTTTTTCCTCAATAGCTTTTAGGGCATTTGACCCAGTCACCCCAGAATACTTTACAAAATTAGTACTTCCTCTAGGCTATGGGGCTCAGGCCATGAAATTATGCTGAATAGATTTGGTGTATTTTTCACGGTTTTTTTATATAAAGTTTGGATTTTTCCTCAATAGCTTTTAGGGCATTTGACCCAGTCACCCCAAAACACTTTACAAAATTAGTACTACCTCTAGGCTATTGGGCTCAGGCCATAAAATTATGCTTAATAGATTTGGTGTATTTTTCAAGGATTTTTTTATAGAAAGTATGGGTTTTTCCTCAATACCTTTTAGAGCATTTGACCCAGTCACCCCAGAATACTTTACAAAATTAGTACTACCTCTAGGCTATGGGGCTCAGGCAATGAAATCATGCTGAATAGATTTGTTGTATTTTTCAAGGATTTATTTATATAAAGTATGGGGTTTTCCCTCAATAGCTTTTAGAGCATTTGACCCAGTCGCCACAGAATACTTTACAAAATTAGTACTTCCTCTAGGCTATGGGGCTCAGGCAATGAAATTATGCTGAATGGATTTGGTGTATTTTTCAAGGATTTTTTATATAAAGTTTGGGTTTTTCCTCAATAGCTTTTAGGGCATTTGACCCAGTCACCCCAGAATACTTTACACAATTAGTACTTCCTCTAGGCTATGGGGCTCAGGCCATGAAATTATGCTGAATAGATTTGGTGTATTTTTCACGGATTTTTTATATAAAGTTTGGGTTTTGTATACAGTGATCCTTGTTGAATGTTTTTACATTATTTTATTGATTGATATAATTGATAAATGTTGACATCTCTGTTGAAAAGAGGACCATTCACTCTAATGAATACTATGTAGCACTTTGAGAAACTTGTAAAGTGTAAGCTGTTGTTATTATTATTCATTTATTGGAAAAATGTTTTATTTTCCTGTTTACATTATATGTGGACCGCGACCCGCAGTGGCAGCTGAATTTCGGCCCACGACCCAAAATGAGTTTGACACCCCTGGCCTAGAGGAAGTACTAATTTTGTAAAGTGTTTTGGGGTGACTGGGTCAAATGCCCTAAAAGCCATTGAGGAAAAAAACATACTTTATATAAAAAAATCCTTGAAAAATACACCAAATCTACTAAGCATAATTTCATGGCCTGAGCCCCATAGCCTAGAGGAAGTACTAATTTTGTAAAGTATTCTGTGGTGACTGGGTCAAATGCTCTAAAAGCTATTGAGGAAAAACCCATACTTTCCATTAAAAATCCTTGAAAAATACACCCAATCTATTCAGCATAATTTCATTGCCTGAGCCCCATAGCCTAGAGGTAGTACTAATTTTGTAAAGTGTTTTGGAGTGACTGGGTCAAATGCCCTAAAAGGTATTGAGGAAAAACCCATACTTTATATAAAAAAATCATTGAAAAATACACCAAATCTACTAAGCATAATTTCATGGCCTGAGCCCCATAGCCTAGAGGAAGTACTAATTTTGTAAAGTATTCTGTGGTGACTGGGTCAAATGCTCTAAAAGCTATTGAGGAAAAACCCATACTTTCCATTAAAAATCCTTGAAAAATACACCAAATCTATTCAGCATAATTTCATGGCCTGAGCCCCATAGCCTAGAGGTAGTACTAATTTTGTAAAGTATTTTGGGTTGACTGGGTCCAATGCCCTAAAAGCTATTGAGGAAAAACCCATACTTTAAATAATAAATCCGTGAAAAATACACCAAATCTATTCCGCATAATTTCATGGCCTGAGCCCCATAGCCTAGAGGAAGTACTAATTGTGTAAAGTGTTTTGGGGTGACTGGGTCAAATGCCCTAAAAGTTATTGAGGAAAAACCCATACTTTATATAAAAAATCCGTGAAAAATACACCAAATCTATTCCGCATAATTTCATGGCCTGAGCCCCATAGCCTAGAGGAAGTACTAATTGTGTAAAGTGTTTTGGGGTGACTGGGTCAAATGCCCTAAAAGCTATTGAGGAAAAACCCATACTTTATATAAAAAAATCCTTGAAAAATACACCAAATCTATTAAGCATAATTTCATTGCCTGAGCCCCATAGCCTAGAGGTAGTACTAATTTTGTAAAGTGTTTTGGGGTGACTGGGTCAAATGCTCTAAAAGGTATTGAGGAAAAACCCATACTTTCTATAAAAACATCCTTGAAAAATACATCAAATCTATTAAGCATAATTTCATTGCCTGAGCCCCATAGCCTAGAGGAAGTACTAATTTTGTAAAGTATTCTGGGGTGACTGGGTCAAATGCTCTAAAAGGTATTGAGGAAAAACCCATACTTTATATAAAAAAAATCCTTGAAAAATACATCAAATCTATTAAGCATAATTTCATGGCCTGAGCCCCATAGCCTAGAGGTAGTACTAATTTTGTAAAGTGTTTTGGGGTGACTGGGTCAAATGCCCTAAAAGCTATTGAGGAAAAAAACATACTTTATATAAAAAAATCCTTGAAAAAAACACCAAATCTATTAAGCATAATTTCATTGCCTGAGCCCCATAGCCTAGAGCAGCCATTCCCAAACTCAGTAACACCGAGGCCCCCTTAAAAATCTGACGGGTCTGCGTGGCCCCCCAAAATAATAACCAAGAAGACAACATTAAGAATAGGCTCTTCTGGTTATTTTATTTTGGGGAAATAGCCTCTGCTACAAACATTGTAATACAAAAATGATTACAGTGGATTATTCAAGTCAAATAATGAACACAAATATTTTAATATTACAAACAAAACATTATAAATTTAACATTAAAAAATTATATTTATTTTTTATTTTTTTTATGACCTCCCGCGGCCCCCCTGCAGTACCCTCGCGGCCCACCAGGGGGCCGCGGACCCCACTTTGGGAGACACTGGCCTAGAGGAAGTACTAATTTTTTAAAGTATTCTAGGGTGACTGGGTCAAATGCTCTAAAAGCTATTGAGGAAAAACCCATACTTTTCCATCAAAAGTCTTTGAAAAAACCATGAAATACAATAAAATATTAAATGTTGTAGACTAAATGTAATCTTTAGGTGTATTTTCTATCTCTTTTCATTAAAATTGTTTATTTGTATCATATTATTGATTTACACCTAAACTACATTTTTTACACAGACAGTAATTCATAGACGGTCCCTAAGTTCGAACGATCTTAGTGCTGGAGGCGAATATCCAACAACGTCCAACGTGAAACCAACTTCACCACGGTCGAGTTAGCGGCTAGGCTAGGCTAAGCTAGTCCGGATCCGGGCCCGCACAACAGACTCCGAGACCAGACAAACAACCGCTACCTAAACCTCAGCTGCAGTACAGCTCGGAGTGCTTACACAGCTAGCTTGGTGTACAATACGTGGATTTGTAATGTGTTTGTTAGTGCAAACAGAGAGCAGAGTGATAGTAGTGCATTAGGTTCACATTATACATTGAATTACCAGAGTAACTAGACTTTTGAACGATGTACATATTTTCAGAGTTTGACCGGTCTATCAAAAATCTATTCAGGAAACGGAATGTGTTTGTGTTAAAAACAGGTGATAGCAGCAGAGGGGGAGATGAACGCGTCACGAGCTCTCAAAGAAGCGTCTTTAGTCATCGCAGAGTCTCCGTCCGGTCTGCAGCTGAGGTATCTCCAGACCCTCAACACCATCGCTGCTGAGAAGAACTCCACCATCATCTTCCCGCTGCCCATAGACGTCATGGCTCACTTTATGAAGAAGTGATTCACCATCAACGCTAATGTAATAGTGTTGATACTTAATGTCTATCATATTCAAATGTTGTGACCCAGGCATGTTTTTCAATAGTAAATCATTATTATATAAACTGAAGTCTTATGTAAACTGTCTTTTGTATGCGCTGTAATATTCAATGTTCTATCAAATGCATTATAGCATTAAAGCATATGTGTATATTGATATGTATGATATGTACAGGCTTAAATGAAAATGAAAAAAAAAACACCAGTCTTTTTTTCCCCCATTGTTTATTGTGTTCTCTCCAAATGCAGTACAGCATCAACACACTTTTGTACTCATTACATATTCATCTCATTCATAATCTTCCATTAAGCTACTGTTATATTTCCACTAAGAAGAGGAAAGGAAGAGAGAAGAGCAAAAACAGTTGTAGACAGAAACATGCTTATAGTACGTCATTAGTGAGACACAACTCATATTATAAATGTATTTACATTCAAATGCACATTTAGTGCATCTTCCATAAAGTGAAACCATAACACAAACAAGCAAGCCGTGGTGCACAGGCCAAACCAGCATTTTGATAACATTGTGGGTTCATCAGTGACTAAGTGTTCAGTTACTCATGTTGGCCCTAGCTTCAGCTTAGTGCTTCGTCTTAAATGGATGCTACATAGAGACATAGAAACAGGTCCTTCCATTTGAAAGAAAATCCACAAAACATGGCTATAAACTGTTTTATATTATGAGCATAACACAGATGTCCACAGGACACATTGAAGGGTCTTGATATTACTGAAGAGCGAGTTGGAAATTGATTTCTGTCATATTTTGTAAACATTTGATTGTGTTCCTTCCACAAAGACAATCAGTCTGCACCTGTCGATACGTAGAGGGACCCTGAAGAATTACTACATCAGTAATACATTGCGATTCTGACTCATATATTTCTTCATAGGGAAAAACATTCTCAAAATGATCAGTGCAGTATAAAATCAGCAAGTAAAACTTTCAAATTCAGATGTGTAATAAATGACATTCAGTTGTTGGAGCATTTAACCCTGTGTACGTTATCATACAAAAGTTTATAAGATCCAAAAGAGAATCAAGTTTACTAACATTAAAAGTGCTGGTATGGTAACTAAATAAGTTGCTCAAATCTTATGGCCAGGGAAATAATAATTTACATGCTGGTTAAAAAGTGGAGGATACATTACAACGCTCGTCCACTGTAAATAAATAACATTAGTATTAGGCTGAGCCAGCTCACACATCCTCACACATGGTGCATCACAACAGGCCACGTTTACCCTCATTTCTACTGCTGACATATTTACATCATGTTCATGTATCACAAACGAGCAGGAGACAAAGAGAAATCTAGAAAGTGTTAACCAAATGGTTTCTTATAGTAGCTCAACAAAAACAATCCTGACCCTGAGGGTAATTTTTACAGCACAGAAGATTATCTTTTATAAAATGTACAATTTGTATGAATGCCACTTGCTGCTTTTTACAAATCTTGGGAAACATAAGGTAAGATATGTATACAAACAAAGACTTTCCAGTTCAAATTTGAAAAACAACTCCCTGAAATCTTTTGAAATTAAGTTTATACAAATGGCTATTGATCAGAGAATAGAGGTTCTGGAGCTTGAATGTGCCGTCGCTTTAGACCACCTACGTAACATACTGTAGGTCTACGCACAGCTCAGTGTCTTCTGATTAGATATAAGCATGTGCCTTTGTTGGGGGAATGGGCTTCTACCCTATTCTGGGTGTTGCCATAGACGCCACCATACCCAGTATTTTGGTTGTATTAAGCCCTATTCGCACAGGATTAGTATTATCACCGGACGTCTGTGTTTGGCCAAATACAGTAGGTAATTTGCGGCGGAATTTTGACTTTACAAATGACAGACATGGCGCATTCGCACGGGACTAAGATCTCAGGCATCCTCTGCAATGATCCCAAATGACCAGAGGTCCAGAGGTAACACTAATCCTGTGCGAATAGGGCTTTAGTTTACATTGGGGAGCTGAATATCCCAGCAATAAATCTACAGACTCCAAAATGCTCCCAGAGAAGGCAGAATTTACACAAGGGAGTAATAAAGTGGGCAGAATATGGTCAATACAGGGGTTTAGACATGAGAATGCTCTATTTTATCATGAGGTAAAACTACACACAGTTATGTCTTTACATACATAGCTTATATTGTGTCTGGTTATTACATCACTGTCTTGTCATTCGGAAATGTAAAACTTCCATTAAAGACAGTAGGATGTGAGGATGCGTTCACAAAATGGTACTAGAACTAGAACCGGACAAGAAGAGGACCAAGTCTATACCAAGACTAAACCGGTTTATGTTAAGACAAAACCAGGACAAGTGAGATAACTGTTAACTGCCTCTGTTAACCAAGTTGGAAGACTAAATAAATACTATACAGACAACATAACAAATAATAATAATAGTAAATCGACACAGTATTTCCAGTTCTTAAATTGTCTTATACCAAACTTTCTTCTGTTTCATAATGTTTAAGTTATGAACGATTTCAAATACAGATAAAACTAACTCCACATTTACTTATCATAGAAATGTTTTTTTTTTTTTTTGCAATTTGACCTGAGAAATCTACAAGTAAATTTAAGCTAAAAGAAAAAAAGCAAAAAAAAACTAGAGGAAGACCTGATAAGATTCACCTTAATGTTTGTAAATAAATTGCTTGGTAACGTGAATCTGTCAACAATAAACATACAAATAGTTAAAAATGTTGGTCTTTTGTTGCTGGTGTGTGACAGCGGTGTTGAGAATAAGGCGCTTTGTTCCCGATTATTGAACAGAACTAAAGACTTCCATAAATGTTGATTTGCCGAGACATGCAATGAAAGAGGAACCTTTTTTTAGTTTCATTTCCGCCACGTTCACACATACTGTAGTAGGAGCTATAGGGAACAGTTCAAGATTTTGGGGACTTTTTTAGCTGCTGCTCTGTTGACACATGTATTTAGCAACCTATTTTTTTTGTATTCATTTATTCTATTAGACTGTGGACAGAACTTATAAACATAAGCCTAGGGTAGATACAAATGAATCAATTTTTAATTAAATTCTGTGTCAAATAATTACAAAAACATGTTTTTTTTTTCCCATGCTGGATTGTTATTTATTTGTTTTAATTAGTGTTTAATTGTGTTGCACTTACATATCGCTGAAATAACTTTGTATTGCACCTTATACCAGTATTTTTCACATTCTCCATTTGCTACTAAACGTTAATTATATGGTACCCTGCACATTGTAATCGTTACTATATTGGCAACTTTTTTATCAAACTGTATTTTAATATGTATGTTATATGATTGTAATGTCAAAGACTACAGATGGAAAGTAGCACGTTGCTAAATCTGGAGCAGCCATCTTTTGAATGTAACTGCACATTGTCCTTAATAAATTAAACTCAAAATAATATTCCCTACTGCTCATATTCAATCCGGTAAGAGCCACTTTCTCTTTCTTTGTGAACGCCACCAAAGGGAGCTCTGACTACACAGGAAATGGGCATAAGTGTGAGTATGTGATAATTTGCCTCATGTCCAGAATACAGAGGTCAAAGACAATACTTCTCCGCGGTGTTTCACATTCTGATCAAGGCTTTCTACAATAGTCTGGTACAGTCGAGGTACCGCACTGTTTACACATTCAAACTTGGAGCACGAGTGAAGGTTCTATCCCCTCCTCACGGGGCCGAGCTCAGACATGGAGCAGGACTACAGCGGGTCACTGCGGCTCTGTGACTGGGTGTGGCCGGACCAGGAGACAGATTCTGATTGGTCATTGCTCTGTGAGTGGGCGTGGAGGGGCCGGGTGAGTAATTCTGATTGGTCACTGCTGCTCTAGCGGGCGTGGAGGGGCCAGGTGAGTAATTCTGATGGGTGGTTGCTCTGTGAGAGGGGGAGAAGAAGTGAGGAGGCTGCTGAGGACAGCCGTGGCAGTGGGTGGGGGACTCGCAGCAGAGGAAGGGTGAGGATGGAGCGGGGGAGGTGGAGAAGGAGCGGTGCAGGGGGGAGGACGATGGGGACATCAGCGGACTGGTCTGAAGACGCCACAGCAGCTCATCGTTATTGCAGCTCAAGCGCTTCTTCTCTGTGCTCTCCTTCTCCACCGACTCGTGGAGGTTAGCGTTCTCCTCAGACAGTTGCCTTGAAAATTATTAAAATTCACAACATTACATTTAAATTCCAAGATGATAGTGTGAGTTTTCTATGCTTTCGTTTACCTGGAAAGAGCCAAGTTCATATCAATTCTTGCTTTGAGATCTTCATTCTGTTGTTGCAGAACCTGGATTTTCTCCTCTAGGAATACATTCTTATGGGCCTGCTCAAATACAAAACCACCACAAAGAAATCTTTCATTCTCTGTCTATATAGATATGAACACACTTTGTGAGTAAGTGGATTCATCAATGGCAAAATTAAGCCTACCACTTTCTCCAAGTCTGTAATCATCTTCTCTTGCTGGTGAATCTGCTGGTTCTTCATTTCCACGACTTCTTTTAAACTCTTCAGGTCCTGCTCAATGTGTTGGTAAGGAGCCAGAGCCTCCTGGTGATCACAATCCAACACAGAGGATCATGTTAAGTACACAGATACATGTTCCACACAATAAACATCTTAAGTTTTATTCATTGTACCACTATTTGTTCATCTGTGCTTCTCCTCAGAGCCTCCTCAAAGCGCTTTGCTTTGTCCCTCAAACTCTTGTTTTGAAATGTCAGTATATCAACTTGATCCTGCAGAGAAACAATATTTAGCATGTTTATTTTCTATCAAATTTACAATATGATAATGTTTACTTGAAGGGAAAGCCGGAGTTTTTCAAAGTCTTCCTCAAGCAGGATTTTTTGCTGCTCATGAGCTTTCCGAAGGTCTGAAACAAATACAAACAGTGCACACAATATAATTCCACCCGTCAGATGTGGTATGTTGAAAACGTGCAACAATGTAAATGTATTGCAAAATATTCACTGTATAGCTATAGATAAATAAAACAATCATTGCTGATGCTGCTTATTCAGAGTTTGACAAAGTTACCTCTCATTGTTCGGGCATGTTCCTCGTGCAGTGTTGCCATGGTGATATTGTGCATGTCTCGAAGCTCTTGAATTGCAGCCTGATGTCCCACTGTCATCTCTTCTATCTGCACGCACACACACACACACACACACACACACAGGAGATGTAAGCAATCTTGAACATTTGAATTGAACATTTGTGCAGCACTCCCCTCTCTTTGACTATTTCAAATATCAGTATAAATACATGGGCAGGGCCTGGTTGCTACGGTGATGGGAGTCCTCCGTGCCACAGTGGGGCAGTCCTGTTCTCCTGTGTGGAGTGTGAGTGGTACCTGTTCCTGCTGCTGCGTTCGCAGCTCTTCCATCTCAGACCGATGCTCGGATGTCAGGTGTTCAGTCTCGGCTGAGTGACACCTTCTCAGCCCCGCCTCCAACTGAGCTAGCTCCGCCTCCTGCTGCTGCTGTAGCTCCTGCAGCTCGCGCTCAAAGGCGACCTCCAGGGTGGTCTTCTCCCGATGCAGCCTCTCCCAGCGCTGTGAGTGCGACGCTGATAGAGAGACACATACATATTTTATACTTTGTCTTTTATATGAAGTCAATATCATTTGCAAACATACCAATTTCCTCATGGATGGATTTGATTTCCTGAGACAATTTCTTCTCATTTTCTTCAGATGTCTTGTTCTAAAATGATAAAACACATCACCAATGCAGTTAGGAATCATTTTCTTAATCTTTCCTTAATTATTTCCAAACAAACCAATTCATTTAACCCATCCTCGCCCTCCTTAGCAGGGACATAAGGGACAAATATTATTAGATCAACATTCCACATTGCAGACATAAATAATGTTTCAGCTTTAAAAAAAAGGTTCCCTGAATTTGTAGTGTCAGATGTAGACCAGCAGAGGGAGCCGTTCCTCTCTCAAACAGCTAAATCATAACTGAAGAGGAGGCAATGGCTGCTCTCAGACAGCAGCCATAAAGAAGTCAGACTGTCCCCGTGTGCCTGCCCATAACACACTGCTGTGCTGCTGGTATACGGCACCTCAGAGGCTAAATCACTCCATTACATGAACCGCGTTGGACCAAACTAGCTCCTGACACAGTGAACTCTCCAAGACCCTCCCACAGCAACCATTTCTCCTCCCTCTGCTCACTGACCATGCTGTGAATATGCGCTTAAATACTGTATGGGATATTCAAGTGTACATTAAATATGCCACATTTAAAATAGTTGAGGTTGAATTTACCTATTTTCTTCTGTATGAAATAATGGATTAAAAGAGGTAAAATACGGCATTAGTCCCACCCCAAAAACAAATAACGATTGGGTATTATTCTAAAAAACCATACAGAAAAATCCTTCTCATGTCAATTTTTTAAAATCTTTTTTAATGAGAACAAAGTCCATAGGTAGTGAAGAAATGTTAGTAAATAAGGTTTTGTATTGCATTGGTTTGTCACAGTTCTGCTTATCTGTGCATTCAACTGAAGGATTGTATCTGTTCTAATAGAATTCATGATTTCATATATTCTATACCTGATTTTACTGCTTCGACTCTTGTTTTGTAGAGCACTTTGAGTTGCCCTGTGTACAAAATAGTGCTACACAAATAAGGTTGTCTTACCTGGAAATGTAAACGTCAACAACAGAAATGAACAATTGAAAGATAGGTCGAGAAAGATACCTCCTTTTCTGACATCAAAGTGCTTAGTCATCAACACTATTTTAGATGTATTTGTGTGTATCTAATTCTGTTTTCATTTTATTTTGTGCATATGGATGTGCATAGACATCCATCCATCCATTTTCTTCCCCTTAATCAATTTCTGGGTCGGGAGTCAGAGCTGCACCCAGAACACATAGCACCAGCCCCTCACTGATCCTCCTGCAGGTGGTGAGTCCACAGGAGCTGAGATCTTTTAGCGGTGGCTTCAGGCCTAAAGTAGACATTGACATTTAAAAACTATTGTGGCACAGTTCAAGCGTTTAATTTGAACGAAAAGGTTGTGATTCACTTTGTGCTTGACAAAAGGACTTAAGTGCTATTATTCTTTCTGCCTCCAGTACCTTGAGGCAGTACTGTTGAGTGGTGATGATAAAAGCCTCCAGACCCAAGGACATCCTCCTCAGCTCGTCTCGAAGAACTCTTAGCTGCCTCTCCTGCTGCTCACATCTTCCCTGCAGCCTCTGGACCTGCGAGCCACACAGTGCACTTATGTTATGTCTACGGACGACATTATGTAACAGCACAAAACAAGACCAGGAAAAACAATAAATATAACATTCTCAAGTGCAGTCTCTTTTGGAGGAAGTGTATGTGTTATCATGAAAATGTAATCGTTGCTGTACATACTAGGCCCAAACCAATGTATATAAAAGAGGATATTTAATGACACTGAATTATAACAAAATACATACAGACATAACAGAAAATATCATACCCCACGGAGAGATGCTTGGAGAGAGAGAGAGATCCCCGGAGGCTCTGGGCCACAGCATTAGGCTGCTACATGTTGCATAGAGAGTTGACACTGACCAAGAGCCCAAACTAGTCCATCCCAGCTATCTACAGTATATACTGGCCGTGAGGTTACTCCCAGGTTCCACTGGATTGGTCAGGGGGGTCAGCCAGGAGCAAACATGGACATCAGATAATGGGGAAAATCCATACCAACGATATGTTTGTTTTATCATGTATTTATCAAGCCAATGATGAGCCATTGACAACTCCCCTTTCTCACTGTAGTTTTGGTTGACAATGCTTATATGTTGGGGAAATTTACTTACTGCTCATTGTAAAATACAGTAGAAAGTGAGATCTGATCAGTTCCATTGGGTTTTTAAACTTGGTGAGTTTGTATGAAGTCGAGACCTGTGTAGTGTGTTGTATCATCACATTGTAAGCTGCCACTTTTCCTCAGAAGTTGCACAATGTATGTGCTGCTGCTATTTGTCTGACATAAACAACATAATCATCAAGGTGATCCCCTTTTTAGGCATTTCTGACAATCACTTTGAATGTTGTACCTCTTGTCTTTGTTCATTCCGGTGGCGCTCCTCCTCTTTCTGCTGGGCCTCCTCCTTCTCCCGCTGCAGGGTCTCATCCTGCTGCTGAGGCTGAGGTTTGAGGGAGGCCACGCGGCGAGGAGACCCAGACCCCCGCACCACCGCAGCCGGACGCTGATCTGTCGGGACTGGAGGCACATGAGGTTGGAATTAGATTTTCGAAGATAGAATAAACAATTTTCAAGCGTCAATATTGACAAGACCAACTCATTTCAGATAAGAATTTTTGGGCTGTTGTGCCAGACAAATATGTAAGAAAATGTACCAATTATAGATTTCAATGTTTACGTTAGATGTTATTTTCCATAAATATTCACTCAAACCTTCAACAAATAAAAACATATTTATATAATAAGCTTGAATCTTTATTGTGTTCATTCAGCACCAAAGAGGCCATTCCTGAATCAAGCTTCCCATATTTTTCATATATGTCTGTTATTGATCATCACTTCTCAAACTCCAACTGTTCCTTCTTCCATTTTCTTAGTTTTGTCTTTTGTCTGTTATTTTTTTTATTGTGCTTTGTAAAATCATTGAGTGTAAGTTGATGCAATGTTGAATATTATTAAATAGTCCTCTAGTAATTTTGTGCATTTTCACAAACAACTGTAATGTTTCGGGATTCCCCCTAGTGTCTGTTTCATATCCAATTTCTTGTAAAAACCTTGGCAACTAAACAGTTAAAATCTGTTCAGTACATCTCATCGAACATCAGCCATATTGTACTGTGTTCTCCTCCCACATGCCATTTATAAAGTAACCGGGACATATCCGGTCTTAATAATGAAATTGATGCGATTAAATCCACTTAGATTTGACTCGACCTTTTGCTAATGACTGTGTTCACGTGACGAATGATCTTATGTTAATTGAACCCACTTTTACAGAGAAGGCAGCCTCACCATTATGCACCCCCTGCAAGCACAGTGCAATCACTATCAAGTGCTTGATTGAGTTGTAAAATTCACACAAAGTCAATAGACAACAAAATTAACATGAATTAATTGTGGAGATATTCGTGTTAATTGCTTTGAGTTAAACCCCAATGAATTGGTTTGGCAATCCTCGCGGGGACTACCATTAAGCCAGAGCAGACAAGATTATCCTTGGCATGTGTCACCTTGTCACCGAGCGAAGACAAAGTCCCACGCAGAGAAACACAGCAGCCTATAGATCAGATATGAAATCCTCTTAAGTGATACTGACACTATCTTAATGCATTTCATTCATGTCACCTCAGCCACTGAACCGGGTGTTAGTTTCACTGCATTCTCACACTTTGCATTTGTGATCAGGCTGAGGATATGGTGAGATATTTGTCCAAGAATAACACAGAAAAACAGGGGCAAAGATTAGACTTGTTCATTGTCATTTTACTTGTGGTAGCTCTGCGGCCATACGATACAGCTGTAATTATACTGCAAGTAAATTGCACAGAAGTGGGCTCTATTTAGTAGCGAGGGCAAGAGCCATATTTAAAAGCAATGGAATGCACTCAGAGAAATTCAGTATGAATACATATGCAAGCCCCACTTTAAAAAAACAAAATAATAATACCAATATCAATAATTTTTGCTTTCACTTCACAGTTGTCTTTGACTTTAAATAAAATGAATCTGAATCTGATCTTTGTAGGGATTTTTCAGAAATAAATTACCAGCAGCTCAGTCCGTCCGAGAGAGAACTCGTGTAAAAAGGGACAAAGAGATTGTGAAGCCACTGTGCTAGTCTCATAGCGCTGAATAACAAGAAACCGCAGCGCCACCTCCACCTGCCTGACGCTGCATCGCTCAGACCCAGCGGACCGTCCTAGAGCGTAACCATGCCGACGGGAGGTTGCGGGCCGGGGGTGAGGGGGGTCCCAGGTAATGACTGAGAGGTGCTTTAGTGGGGGATGAGATGGGAGGTGAGCTCTGGGCCAAGGATAAAGGAAAGGGAGTGTGGGGCTGGAAACCAAGGACTGTAGCGTCGCCACAGGAGTGGGATTTTGGCTTTTTATCATTCATTCTAAAGTCTAAGCAGCGAAAAACACCAGTGCCACACATGTGAAATGATTTGAGATATCGTATTCAACAAGGAACACTGTCTAATACTGTTCAGTACATTGTGGCCGAGAAAGAATTTGAATTTGAATAACAAAGAAAACCTTGCTTTGACAATAATAATGCACAAATACAATGTGTTGCCAATGCTTTTCAATACACCAGAGGCCCGAGGGTCTGTACTATAAATGATAGAAGAAAGGGGCACACATTTACTAGCTTGCACAGTTTTCAAAGGATAGAGCAAACCTGCACTCGGGCTTTTAAAGTTTGTTGGATTACAATGTTAATATTTGCATTTTCATACAAGAGCACACAATATAAATATTATAAAACAGTCCATTTTGAGTAGATCTAAAACCCAGAATGTTGAAAATGTAAATGATTTTATTGTAATACTTTTATTTTTATTTTTATCTGAGGTACCTTACTTTCAATGCACAAATAATTAACATCTATCGATCAGCTCTGAGCCCATAGTGCCCAAAATAAGATAATGACTTCACTGCATGTAGATCTGAATTGTTTTACTTTTTCAGGACTCTTTCTGTCGAGACAAACAACATGCATTCTTGATGAATGATAAAAGTTCAGTAACCCAGGTTCAAATGAAAAGACAAATACTTGAATACTGATACCTCACTCACTCAATTGTCTCAAGGCAATATGTGCAAGGTTCTTATTAAATTTCTAGACACGATTTTGAGCGTAGACCTCTCTCATAAAGGTTATGGAAAGTGTTGTGTGTATCTGAATTGTATATGCATCAGCACCAAGACGGAATACAAATAAGCAGCCAGACAATAACGAAGACAAATATGAAGATATGAAATTATCTTTGTTTTCAAGTACAGTGAACGACGGGCACTAACAGAAAGGATTATGGAATTTTTTGCTGAGAAAAGCCAAAGCTGAATATATTTGCAGATATGATTTAGGTAAGCAAACAGAAGAAATTTGTGAGTAGGCGTAGACAAAGCACAACAAAGAGTGTCTTCAAAACTGAAATGGTGAACAGTGCTTTGATAATAGTAGGAGGCAGAAGACAAAGGGGAATCCAAAAGAGCAACGTGTCCACTGTCGGAAAACATAAACTACTCCTCTGATGTACAACCTTCTATTGTTTGTGTATGTGTCAAAGAAAAAGAAAAAGATACGACATAGATCCACTGACAACAATATTACAAACAATATAAATAAACAATAATTTGAGTGTGTTAGGTATAAATAAGAGTCACAGGTTGAAGAATATATTAATCGTGGTATCCAATGAAAACATAATTAGTCCAGCATCACATGTGGGTATTGACAGCGTTCCCTTTGGTCTTTGACGCTTCTAGACTCATTGGTGGAAGGCAAAATTCAAAGCCCAATGGCTCAGAAATGCCTTGGTGAGATATATTCAGTAGATACAAGGAAGTGATTCATATACAGCGTCGGAAATAGGAACTTTGGATATGACTCAAAGTTTGTGGGTGTAAAGACAGATGAAGGCGCGAACATAAAGACTGTAGAAGCATATGTCTGATTTAGGAGACAGATATAGACGTATAGAGATATTATTCGGGAGAAAGTCAAGATTTAAGTGATTTGTTCATTTTCATCTATGTAAAAGTAGTCTACATTGATTTTGGTTGTTTTGATCTAGTTGGTAGTTTATTTATCTAATATTGATCATGGTGCCCAACTATTCTGAGAAAATTATTGGACGACTACCACCACCAATCATTCCCTCACACACCAGACCCATACAAGCAATGCCTAAAGACATAACAGCAGTTTGGCACCACCATAACACCTGGCGTTCCCAGAGGGCTCCCATCACAGTAGTGACAGGGCCATTCCCTGCTGACTGAGGTCTAACAGGATCAGGATGTTCACATGCAATACATAGACATATTTGCAAGACCATGTATTGTGCCAGTTCCAGACAATAAAACCAACAGCATTCTTAAATATTTCCAGTGTAGAATTAATGAATCAAGTTGTACATAGAATAAAACAGAGGAGACACACAACAAAAATGACAAAAGACGGTTTTGTCCTGTATAAAACATGGCGAACCAAGATGTCTGCCCTTTCAAAACAATGGGCCTCATTCACGAACGGTTCTTAGGAACAGATTTGTACGTAAATCCTACTTACGAGGTTTTTACGAAGAAAGTGGCATTCACGAATTTTTCTCGTAACCAGAATTTCTCTTGGGCAAGTACAAATCCTACGAGTCCTCAGGAGCACTCGTACGCATTCAGTGCCGACATGTTCACACGCCGGGGTTGTCCTCTTTGGTGAAGTTTAATAAAAATACAACATTCCAGTGATATGTCCGTCATATTGATGTATGTATTTATTTATTTAAATGTTAATGGTAATTTAGCCTATTTTTTTATTCATTTTTAAATGAAATGTGCCAACGCTTTATCAAATACATTGGAAATCATGCCGTGTATTACAGTAGTGACCCCATCCTATTTATAGGGGGCATTTCTTTATCCACGGGCCACAGAACAATGGAATATATACTGCTGCTGCAGGAGGCTGCGGGGTCCGCTCTGAGTCTCTGCGCTGGTCTCTCCCATGGATCTATACAGGTCTGCACTGGTCTCTATGGATATATACGGGTCTGCACTGGTCTCTCCTATGGATCTATACGGATCTGCACTGGGGTCTCCCATGGATATACGGGTCTGCACTGGTCTCTCACATGGATCTATACGGATCTGCACTGGGGTCTCCCATGGATCTATACTGGTCTGCACTGGTCTCTCCATACGGGTCCGTGCTGCACGCTCCTGGATCCAAACGGGTCCGCGCTGGTCTCTCCAGTCTGGTTTGCGGTCTCTCTTCGGTCCGCGCTGGTCTCTCCAGTCTGGTCTATGCGGTCTCTCTTCTTCAGTCAGGTCTCTCAGTCTATGCGGTCTCTCCTGTCCGCGCTGGTTTCTGTGTGCTGGTCACTAGTCTCTCCTCGGGTCTGCATTGGTCTCAGCGCTGGTCCGCGCTGGATCTCCTCCCAGGGTCCAAAATATTTTTTAATTTATCTCATAGCATTTTGAGATTAATCTCATCATATTTTTAGATTAATCTCATAATTTTGCTAGTTCGACTTTATTCTTATAATATTTCGACTTTTAAGTCAACATTTTATAACTTTTTTCTCAGTCTGGCAAAAGAAGAAAAAAGGGTGACTCTTTTGCTCCGTGTAACTCTTTGCTTTAGGCCTGTTGCTGTTTCCTCTGGCGTCTGCACACGGCCCTGCAGTCCCTTATATGGGCATTAATGGGCGGTTACCTATGCTAAGTACCTATGCTAATGAAGCACCGGGCACGCGCGCTCTACTTACGAGGAGTTGGCATTCATCAATCTGAGAGAACAGCTGCGAACAATTCAGCGGCTTACGAGCGCGTTGATGAATCCCACGTAGGGTCTTCTTAGAAATCTACAGAAGAACGACTTGAGAAGAAATTTAAGAAGTTTCTTACGAAGTTATTCGTGAATGAGGCCCAATGATCTTTGCTCCTTGGTGTGGGGTGCCCAAACTTTTTAGTAAGAGGGCCACTTTAGTTCACCAGACTAGTCCAGAAGCCAACATCACGGACTGAAAACCTCTCTTGACTAGCATCGGGCTGTTCTGAGCTTTTACATGATCTATACCAGAGCTGAAGTTAGCTGAATGACAAATGTTTACAATCTCACCAGCTACAATAGCACAATTAACGGAGGTTTGTGACAAAATCAAAAACCATGTAAGTCAACGACTGAACTCCAAACTTATGGCCTTTAGAACGAGTTATAACATGTCTAAAATGGCTGAGCTGAAGTTGGAAGTCATAAACACAGTGGACTTGTGTTTATGATTAATGACATAAAATAACACTGAGGGCCGCAATTGGTCTCACTATGGAGGCCGAAATATTGGCGTAATTGAACAATTTAGTCTTCTACAGTACGTACAAAAGTAAGTAATCCTTATTTATATACAGACCAGAGTCACAAAGCAGTTTACAATTGTTATTTTTGGGCACTCCACACTGAGATGGGGTCGCCAGTACAGGAGGCGCATGCCAGAGCTATTGTACATGTTTTTAGTGGTATGGGAAACCTGACTACCCGGAGGAAACCTACGCAGACACTGGGAGAACATGCAAACTTCACTCAGAAAGGCCCTGTTCCGACCGGGATTCGAACCCAGGACCTTCTTGCTGAGAAGTGCTGTCCACTCAGCCACCGTGCCGCCCAGGTCAAAATATAACATGCAACATTTTGTCCAAGTGTTAAAAGAAAGACTGTCATTTACCTGGCGACTGTGGCTTAGGAGGAACCACGGCGAGCCTCTTTGGAGAAGACGGCAGCGAGCGAGTGATCTCTGAACTTCTCTGAAACTCTTTTCGACCAACTGTGAAAAGAAGAATGTTGTCCGAAATTGAATCCAATGACATGCAACATTCTAAGTGTAAGTAGACTGCATGTTTGAGCAGATGTCAACCAAACCTGAATTTTTCCATTTGACATATTTTTGGTGACTACATTTTCACACCTAAAGTTTGCAGATTTCATTTCAGCTTTGTCAAACTTTATCCCATGTTTTTGCCTCTTTACCCTTTGATCTCCAGCCGTCTCTTTCCCTGCTGCGTGCTGTAACTATGCCCCATGGGATTGTGGCTAAAAATTGAAGCAGTTCTAACCCGCTGTGCCCTCGCTTGCTATGACATGACACATTCTGCACCAACAAGTGAGCATATTGTTAATGGTTGTTCTCTCATTATTCTGAATGTTTGAAAACGAATTAATAATTTTGAGGCCGTATCAATTATGCAAACGCAGCACTGTGACCCAGGAGATGAGAGAGCAGAAATGTTCAAAAGATGCTATGACAAATGGATGAGAGTGAAAACGCAATATGGGTGTGCTTTGTCAAAAAAGTTCAAACGGATGCAGCGAAAGTGAGAAAGACGGATAGAAAATGAGTGGAAATAATTAAACCTGTAATTGCAGAGGAGCCTTAGATCGTGAGCACAAAATCCCATCATGACTTGGGAGAGCGGATTCAAAACCATGAGAGACCCAGTTCACTGTTGAAGATACTGCTGCGTTCTCTCAGTATGTGATCGCACTGTTGTTAGGGAGAAACGCCACCGGAAAATCTACTGAGGAGAGGCTTCACTTCAACGCCTTTATTCATTTATTTTCTCTATTTGTTTTTGTGTGTGTGTGGATTGCGGAAATATCAAAAGATAGATCTCTATGGGTGTATAGTCAACCAACGAAATGCTTGAATAACAAAATATTTAGTCAAATAATACAAAATGTGGTCAACTACACACTGCACGTTGTGGACTGTGTCTTGGTCTGGTCTTGGTCTGGTCTGGGGCTCACACCAGCTGCTGTGGCGCAGTCTTCCTTGCAACATCGCATGTTGTCGTGGTAACTAATCATTTATACAGTGAAAGTCATGGGGAGGGTTGCGCCAAAAAAAAAATCTCCCAACGGTGAGCACCTGGAGCTCTGCCGCACCTCTGCACCGCAATGTGAGACTCCTACATGATTTTGATTGTGCAGAATCCATCAACCGATTAATTGATACATATTATACGTTATATAACAATGGTTTCAGATTTTATGAACTGAGTGTAAGAAAGCAGACAACGATGTTCACAATTATCGCTCTGTATATAATTGCATGGCCCTGTCAAATAAATAATTCATCATCAATGGCAGAGTTCTGTAATTAGGCTTTTCACTTGGTAACATAGTGATAACATGCTTTCACAGGATGATCCAGAAATTACAACAACCTTTTACAGTCTTTAAAAGTGAATGTCAGGTACTTTTTGACAATTTCCAACTGTGGAACAAATAAATTGTTCTCTTATCTTATCTTATCAAATTGTGAAAAAGGAGTGAAACTTTTTAAAGACAAGCACATCTTTAACCCGCCCATGCTCACACACACAGCTTCCTATTTGGTCGATTTCATGAAATCCTTGAGGTGCCTTGTCATTAACTATTACTCTCCAGAAAATCTTACTGGTTGTGGTTATGCCAAGGTTCAGGATCATTTTAAATACATCATTGTTGAAAAAAACCTAATGCACATAATAGTAAATTGACAGAAATATACATTCTTAAATACAAAATTAATCCAATTTAATTTGCAGACATCACCTTTAAAGGATAACTCACCCTCAAATCCACTTATTTTTTTCTGATAAGCGGTATACATGAGTATCCAATGGTGCTGTGTACATATCCTGGTCATAATTTTGTCACTTTGGTGCAAATTAGTTGAAAGTTCAACTTTCTGCCTCAAACCGTCAGTGAGGCGCCATCTGCTGGCGGCCTGTATTACTACATTTGAATTTTGAATCTGGCGCCAACATTGGCCGCAGCAGTGACCGCTTTCGTCTGCAGTGGCTCGTTACGTTAGCAGCCCCACGCCCTGAGGTATATAAACGGCCCGGTCTCGTTCACCCCCCCGCCTGTCCCCTTTAGTCCTCCAGGCTACGCCCATTTGGAGGGAGATTTGAACAGAAAATGTGAGTGACGTATGCCTCGAGAAGCGTGGGTGAGAACCACTTTAAAGTACTATTTTAGCAGTATCCAAATAACTCAATGACCATACCATGCATCTTTGTCATTTCACAGTATCCAAATTCTTATGGCAAAGGAAACATGAGAGATGCCCATATTTATTTAACCACACAAATTATTATTCATAAAAAATCCCAAACAGGTGAATGTGTTTAGTTGTACAGTTATTTACATTCAAACTATTATATAACAATGTTTCGCTCGTGTTTATTCACAGGGTAGATGTGGAGGCCTCTTGCTGCAGACAGATAAGAGCCCTCACTATTTGCTGTTTGTACTATCATCTGCGTGTGCATTTTAAAGACATGGAAGCGTTCCAAAGCCGAGTGCGATACTACGAGCCTTTTGGTGTGAACCTCATGTGTGAGAGTGAACGTGTGCAGAGCCCCCTCATCTGTCACTGCTGCTACATCCCCAAGCACTTAACAGGCAACGCGGAGGAAAACGTGAGATCTGACAGGAAAAGTGTTGTTTGCATTTTAAATATATACGGCTTGTGAATGCCTCTACAGGGAATACAGACTTATAAACAATATCAGATCAAATGTAAAACCTGTTATATGGTATTTACAATAGTAGGGAAATCTACTTGCAATAGTTATGGTTCATTTTTCGTTCACTTAAGACTTGGATTCCATCTTCTAATCTACATAAATCTACGGTAATTCCCAAAATGTCAGAAGTAATTATGTGAATGAGTCTTGGTCTTTTGCTGCCCTGAGGTGCTGAAACATGGTCTAAAATAGCAAAAATGATACAGATTGTGGGTCCATTATGAATCATATGTTGAAAGCAGTCAGCTCAGTTATGGCAAAAAACGCACGTACAATAAAGCTTAATCATTAAAATCACAACTACTTATTACTCCAGCCCTGTCAAATTTAAACTTCAAAGAAAACAAACATTTTTCCATTCAACAATATAATATTTTAAATTGCTAACCACTTTGAAAAGGTAAAACATTTATTATCATTTCCAAAACCTATATGAATAAACCAAATTAGTTTTTTAAAATCCAATTAGTATTTAGATGTATGTACCATATATAAGCTTATGGAAGCAAACAACATTTCAATCAATATTTAAAAATTAAGATTTAATTTATTCAAACATTGAACCCATAATGCAATAATACTAATTATAATAAAAATACTACAGGGTCTATGAGTCTGAAATAACATGCTCACTTTTGGTCCGGTTTTTGTTCAGTCCAAGCATTTACTGACTTTGTTCGGAGGAATCTAAAGTTGAATGATGATCTACATAATGTTAAACAAACTTTGCATCAACAAATTCATATTTCATCAACATGGGGTACTCATGCCCTTTCTACACTATGCAAAGGTTGGGAACCACTGCCTTAACTCCCAAATGAAAAAATCCTTATGGGCTGCTAATGTATTCTCTGTATTGTGTAGTGGTTGAGGTGGTGGGTGTGCTGACCTCCAGGAGAGCTGCGAGGCTGCGCGGGCAGGTAGCGGCGGGGCAGGGCCGGGGTGGAGGGCGGCTGCAGGCTGCGACAGGGCGCTGCTCTCTCTGCCGGAGGGCCAAGGGGCGCTCTGTGGAGGACGGGCTCTTCACTCACACTTGAACCTGAAAAAAGCAAACATGGACATACAATTGGAGCTATTTCTGCACTGTGCAATACATCGAAAAGTATATTTATCACTCCAGGTGCTAAACTGTGATATAAGTGGTTTAGTACTATCTACATGTGCATCATAAATCATTTTGGTCCAATGATGGGGGATGCTAATCACTAACACACACAACACACCCTTCAGTGATAAAGTCAGGGAGTCCATATTTCAAGTGTCACAACAATATGCACAAACAAAGTAATATATTTGACATCCATTACTATAACTTAAATATATGTTAGAGTGGGTCAAAGATTAATTGACTGTGTCCTCAAATTTGGCTACAGCGATTGGACAAACCAGTCCTCATTAGCTCTTAATAGTTTCAATTTAGCTGCATCAAAGAATCTGGCTCGAGCTTCCTGCCCATGGAGCGTGTCTGAGTCAGCTCCAATCAGCTTCTTCCCAGTAAAGAAAAACACTATGGGTGATGTCAGCTCTCTGTCCACTCCTTCATCTGTCTATGATGAAATCCAACTCGGGGACTCCTAACTGCTTACGTCTGCTGCCAGATATATTCGACTTTCTCAGCTTGATGTCCAGTGACCTCATGAATTAGAGTCATTGGCAATTTAACAGTCAGTGGTACTATAAGACGATTTTGTGAAGCTTGAGATTGAGACTATTTTAAAATAAATGGCTGTGACCCACCTCCTGTTTTTTTAGAAAGCAGTATTTTTTTTTGCGTGTGATGAGACTTTAAATTTGAAGTTCAGCGATGTGGAAAAATTGGTGTGTAACCTTTTGGTCCAGTGTCACTGCAATCTTTCTTTTGTTAACCCCCGGGAGCCACAGACAGAGCAGAGGAAACCACAACAATCCTATTCTCAGACCCTCTCTTCACCAGGTCTCTTGGCTGAAGCAATTATCAATCAAATTACTGCCAGAGAGTTTACGCAGTCTTACACACACAGTCGCTCAATATAAATCCTACTTGTGCTATCGATCAGGAGATATGTATGCTAACACTGAAGAGATATGATGCAGTCCTGAGCTGTTTGTCGAGAGTCAGGGGCGATTCAATTGTAGGTATGAGAAGCTAATAGCAGCATTAACGGAGTGTGTGTTGCCTTTTTCGGAGAGCCGTTTCCCCCATGGATTTGGAGAATGTATATATTGTAATAGAAAGAAAATCCAAAAAGCAAATAGCGAGTCAGTAATGTGCAGTGTTGTAAATAGACTTCAATACTGATGTTTTTAGACATTTTGAGAGACCCTTACATCTATTTATACAGTAGTCTTTTTGTAGCTTTATAAAAAATAAAAAACTCTTTGTACTTACATTAACATGATTAGAGACCAGGGTACAGTACAGTATATCAATCAATGGTGTGCAAAGGTAATGAGCACCCTTCAACATGGGAGCAAACTTATTTATCATGCAAATGTGGTATTATGAGATTAGGAGATCCTTTATTCGTCCCACAGTGGGGAAATTTCAGTGTTGCATCACAAGTAACCGAACAGTAGGAACGAGGAGCACACAGCACAAGATAAGTGAACAATAGCTATACCATTTCAAATAAAAACAAAAAACATACTCTCAAAATTATGACCACAATTTTGTGAGACAATTTCAGTGAAATAAATGCTTTCTGTGAATAACTGGGAGATGCAATTTTCAACTTGAACCATTTCTAGATACGAATTCAAGAGATTAACCCTGAATCCAAATCATAGTTGAGTTTATTAGTCAACAACAGTTCATTTGTCAAAAACAACAAAAACAGACAACAAAGCAATTTCATACACTGTAAAATATGTGACTTTTTTTATGTATTCATATGCATTTGTCTGTTTTCTGCTCCAGGAGCTTCATCAGTTTCCCCTAAGCGTCTGAAGGCTTTCATTATACAGCTGTTTACAGTACACTCCCCTTATTAGGCGCTGACTTGAGATTTCAGATACAATACTTTGCGCTCTTGTATATCTGCCTGTCAGCAAATAAGACTTTGTTGCCTCAGTGGTTTTGTACCCTACAAGGACTTTATGCATATTTTCCTTTAAAGCAGGGGATAATTATTTCTGCATCTAATTAGCACTACCAAACTCAAGACGCATTAAATCATATGACTGTAGTTGACACAAATTGATTGACTGTCAGCAAAGTTGTGCTTGTTAGCCAAAGGTCAAGTACGGATGCTACGGACACTTCAGAGGAGACGAGGGCTGAATACAGTCCTCTGCAAAGTCCTCCGGGACCACTGCTGCTGTGAATTAGGGTTATACACAAATACAATGAATTGAACGCGTTGATAACCTGTTACTTAAAAGAAAATGTATTGTGATGGAATAACAAAAAAATACAATCATATGGTAGAGCAGGAAAATGAAGGGAAACAGAAACATCTTTTTTATGGTAAAGCTTGAGATTTTATACTTATTTATTATGCTAAAGTTAGAGTTTCTATTTTGTTTTAGTATAGAGTTATTGTTAATTTATGTTTGGTTGTGTACTCCTCATTCCTACTGTTCTATCACCGGTGAAGACAAACATTTCCTCTCTGTACAACAAATTAATCGTCTCTTAATCTTAATTTTCACAATTCTTGTTGATCAATTACGAACACACCCATAGATCTCAATTTGAACTCTTAATTTTCTGTAGAGCACCTCCTGTATATTTGTAGAACGAGGGCAACACAGGAGTTGGTGGCTGAGGAGAAGGTGAATGTATGAAAGGGAATAAGTCCCAGAGCGTCGTGTTCTCCGACATCAGCAGCATCTGTGCTAAAGCAGCAGCTGCCCTCTCTCACACACTGCTCTGCTGAGGAGACAAACAATAAGTCTGATTCTTCAAAAAGGAACCCACTGGGGACATTTACTACTGAGAGCACAAGATACAACTGGACCACACAACTCCCACCGCAGTGATAATGTTTTATTGTGTGTATTTTAAGTCAGCTTTGATTGATTTGAAACTGATAGATTTATCCATTCATCCGTCCATTTTCTTCCCCTTAATCCATTTCTGGGTTGGGGGGGGTGGCAGAGACCCAGTACACATAGCACCAGCCCCTCACTGATCCTCCAGCAGTGGGTGAGTCCACAGGAGCCTTGATTATTCAGCAGGGGCTTCAGGCAAAGTGGGGTGAAGTGTCTTGCCCAAGGACACAACGGCAGCAGACATCAGTGGGAGTCGTGAAGTAGGTCTTGTGGTGGGCTCGAACCCACGACCTTCAGGCTCTAAGGCCAATGCTCTACCAACTGAGCAACTGAAAGGGACATAGCGTCACTACCTTTTCCTTTTTGCTTTCTACATTACTTTCCTTGAAGAGCACCTGCTAGGGGTGGGCAATATGGCCTAAAATTCATATTGCGGTATATTTTGGGACACAGACGGTAAACGGTATTTATTGCGGTATAATTTGGTGTGTGAATTTCAATATAGGTCTAGCAGATTCTTGCATAAAATAGTCAAGATTTATTTGATACTTTTAGCATTTCCTTGGCATTTAGTGTGTGACCTAGAGAGGGCGCCATAAAACCACCCGTTTGTAATAATTGTAACAATTGTAATAATTTATCCCGTTATTGTACATTCATACATACAAACATAGTCAAGTCTTGTTGAACCCATATATTTATTAGTTAAACAAGTAAAGGACAGGAATTAACAATAATTAAACTGTTTGCCTCATTTCCATGCGTCTTTGAACGCATCTGGTTTTATTTTTTTCTCTGAGATTTTTTTCCACCATTTCTCATAATAAACCTTGATAAATGAGCACAAATCAATAATTTGTATATAACAGAAACTGTTAACATGTTTATTTACACTTTTCGACAACTTCTGGAAGAATCCGGTTTCCGGGACGAATCCAGCAGCCACACTCCTCGTGCTTGTTGCCCGTGTAAACAACATTTGTCTTTTTTGCTTCTTCCTTTCTAGTCAAATTTCTGTCGTTGGACAAACGCTATGGGGTATTATTGATATAATTTGCAAATACGTGCAGACAAAGATTAAATGAAGAATCGTAAACTACACCTTTACTACGAGAAAATGAATTGGTTCCCAGACTGGTATTTGCCAGGCTAGATTGGCCCAGAAAATAGAAAAATTAGCTCTGACATTTGACAGTTACCGGGACATATTTTTCAACTGCCCTCCACCCCAGTGTTAAACTATAGGTTCTTTGGAATGTCTCCAATTAATAATCAATTAGTAACATATGCAATACTGCACAGCCATTTACGACAATATTAATGTAGGAACCATATCTTTATAGCCAGTAGGACAATCATATTGCGGAGTATTTGTCAAAGTCAAGGTTAACACTGCAGGTTCACACTAGTGCTGATATACGCTCAGTTTTCAGATGGAGATTAGATATTAGCGGTGCAGCTGTTGGCAGCAGTTACACGCCTCCTGTCCTCTGTCAAACACCAGAGGTCAAAGATAAATTGCCCTCATCATTTTGAAATCATAACTGTCATGATGGTTCTGATGGACATTTGTTTGACAGCATCTTTAAGAACTAATATTTATTCATTGATTTTCTATGCTTTGTGCAATAGCCAAGAGCATTTAAGGATAATAACAGCCTTTCACCATCGCTGATTCAATGTACAGCAATGAGTTGTGTCACTATAGATCAAAAGCGAGACCATAGGCTCATTTCTGCTGGAAGAAAAAACATGAATACAAGAGTTCATACAAATACACTAAAACCAATTGTTGCTTTCTTCGCTCACTAGGTGTTCTTTTATTATCTGTTACAAAAATCGGAAAGATCGGAGTTTGGAATGAAGGCTTTTCATTATTGGTGCAGTTGGTGCAGTTCTACACGGCCATCATCGAGTCCATACTCACCTCCTCCATCACCGTGTGGTTCGCTGGAGCCACAGTCAGGGACAAACAGAGACTACAGCGCATTGTGCGCTCTGTAACTCTATTTTAAATTTAAATTTATTCCTTAGAAGTGTTTTTTATTCTTTATTTTTTATTATCTC